TTTGTTTCCATGGTTAGGCCACCAAAGTTTTTCTGTGATAGTTTAAATAGCTTCTTGTTTATCATCCATAAAGGAATATTAAAAAGGCTTAATGACAGCCCTGAAAAGAACAAATAGTCCCCATAATTAGAATTATTTGGGATTTCTTCCATTTTCTAGAGGAAAAACATAAAAATAACTTTTTATAGTTATTTTTAAATACTATAGAGATTACCAGATTACGTATTTTTGTAACATTCTCTTTGAGGTATGTGCATTTTCATGTTTGTTTTTCCTCTCGTCAAAAAACACTTGTCAGTTTGGTGATTTCATTTGTTCATGTCTTTAAAATTAATGTTCTAGGAATGTGAAATGAAAAAGGACCTAAAAATACATAGAAAGCAAATTAGTATAATGAAAGGTTGGATTTGGAGTCAGATACTCTAGTTCTGTTTTGTTTTGCTACTGATTATGATATTGATCAGGTAACATTGATTTTTTTAAAATATTTTTTTATTTCTACACAATACATTTATTTTATTTATTTACTTTTATGGGGTGCTGAGGGCCTCGCATGTGTAGGCGAGTGCTCTACCGTTGAACCACAACCCCAGCCCCTAACAAATTGATTTTTATATATCAGTTTCTACATTTTTGTCTCAGTAAGATGTTTTCTGACCTCTCCCCACAAATTGAATTTCCATTGTATGCTGTCTTTAATGCATATACTTTCTCTTCAAAGCACTTTTTATAACTTGAATGTACATATTTCTTTATGTGTTTAATATTATCTTTCTGACTGGATTACAATTCATGAGAGTTCATATGTGTTATTTATCACTACATGCCCTGTCATAGCTCATGATAGGCAGTCAATAAGTATTTGTTAAATAACTGAACTATATACTTACAACCTGACATAAATCCAATTTTTATGCTTTCCAGGCATAAAACTACAACACATCTCTTTTGGAAGGCCTTTTTAAAGAAAATCAGGACAATACAGTTTCCTATAACACAATACACCTCTTCTCTCTCTTCTCGCTGTCCATATTTGTATATATGAAGGATTGTCAGGCTTAAGAAATTGTGCTTTAACCCTTATTTCTCACTCCATTTAATAGTAGTTTGGCATTATACTGTGAAGTTCTACTTTTGAGACCATGTGTTTCATTGATGTCTAGCACAGTGCCTGGCATGTAGTAAATAGTCAATGGGACACACAAAATCACACAAAAACAGACTTCAATTAGTCATTTATTTTTGAAGGAACATTATAAAAACTTGGCATGTTTTTATATATAACATTTTGAAAATGTATTGCTTTATTGAGAATGATCATTTATAAAATTATAAATATTGAGTTTAAGGAACTCAATATATTTATATTCAGTTGGTTATTCATGTTCTGGTCAAGATAAGACATTTACTTGTGATCTGGTCTACTTTTGAAAGATAAATATGTGAACATAATATCTTTCCAGTAAATCTTGCAACTATTTCTGTGACTACATCTGTTAACACTTTTATAATTGGCTTCCAAATGACAAACACAAATGGCTGTAGTCTGAATTTTCAGCATGTTTTAGAATAAATGTTTTCTCAGTAATTTAAAGTGCATCATTTCAGTATCAGATGGTTATCTAATTGATTCAGATTTTTTTTGCTTATCTACTAGCTTGCCATTTTTCAAATTTAAAATAAAACTAAATAGCTATAAATAATTGAATACATGATACGATTTTATTCCTTTCACATTTTTATAAAACAGTAGTCTTGCCAGAAAGCTATTGTGGATATTATTTTTATGAGAAACTTTTTGTTCTGTTTTGGTTTTCTTGGTGGAGGAGGGAGGTTATAGTGAGAAGGATTCTTTTTATGTTCTTATTCATTTATTAGCCATTTTTGTAGTTGGTCTATTTAATAGTTACAGTAATTCCAATCATATATTTCCTCTTTTTAAGGAACAAAGAAATTTACTTAGTCTCATTCTTTTATCTTTCACCTCTTAAGAGTGATTCAAGTAATTTGAAAATTGTTCATTTTAATTTTGAAACCATGGAACATTTTAATAAAGTAGAATTAGATATGCCTTTTATATGATCTTGCTTAGTGTGGTGACTTTTCAATTAAAAATAAATTATCCTTTTAAAAAATTCAACATAGGGGCTGGGGATGTGGCTCAGGCGGTAGCGTGCTTGCCTGGCATGCGTGTGGCCCGGGTTCGATCCTCAACACCACATACAAAGATGTTGTGTCTGCCTATAACTAAAAAATAAATATTAAAATTCTCTCTCTCTCTCTCTCTCTCTTTTAAAAAAATAGATAAAAAATTCAACATATATTTATTTAATATTGCTCTAGGCTTTTAATATATAGAAGTAGGGAGGAAGAAAAGTCCTTGCCCTCGTGGGGTTTACCTTCTGGTTAATTTTTCTGAAAAAATAATAAGACTCATAATGAATATTATAGGCCTAGAACAGTATCTTTTTAATTATGTCTGTAGAAGTGATTCATTCTAAATACTATAATGGAACTATTTCTACTTTTTATTCCATATCTGTGTGCTACTCTTTGCATTTACTAACAGATATTCTTATTTTGGAGGGTTTTTGTTGTTGTTTAAATCAAACTTTCCATTCTTTATTTATTTATCTTTCATTTTGTGCTGACGGTTGAACCTGGGCCCTGTGTGCATGCTACGCAAGCACTCTGCCACTGAACCACATCCCCAGACCCTAAGTCATTCTTTCTATAATGCAAAGTTAATAATTTTTTCCTTTATTATATATTTGACATTTGAATAAATATTAGATATAAATTATTGATATAATCTGACACTTGGAATTTTAAGCAAAATCTTCATCTTTGCCTTGATAAATTTTGCTGACTAAATATATTCTAATGCAGAAACATGATATTTCAAGAAGTTTCTGAAATTGAGTATAAATATTATAAATGTCATTATTAGTATTTATTTTTTGGCATTGCATTCTCTCTAAGGGATGTTTTTAAATAATGGTCCTGTATTTCTGATTCTATTTATAGATAAAGTATTTGCCAATATTCTAGTTAGTTTATTTTTAAGAATGATCTGCTAAGCTCCAAGTAGTTCAAGTACATTCCAGCAGCTTAATAATGTGCAAATAGAGGCAACTGGTCTTGCACCTGTTCCTCAAGGCACTGGGTAGTTACTAAATAACTGGGTAAAATGTTAAATGTGAAATATTTTTATACTTTGTAAGTATAATCATGAGCTATTTTTGACTTATGAATTAAATATCTTCATTAAGGGAATAGGACATGTTTATATGCTTTTCTTCATCTACAGCAGATAATTTAAGTATAAAATGTTATTTATAAATAATGTATTTGCCACATATTTTGATAGTAACATTAGCAAGATTGCCTTAATACTTTAGATAATAAGAAATGTATTTGCTGTCTTTGTAATTGATCAGGTTAATAGTTATGGTAATTCTAAGCATATATTTCCTCTTTTTAAGGCAGAAAGGAACTTACATGTGGTCTTTTTTTTTCTCTTAAGAGTGATTCAGGAGCTCAAATAAAATTTAAGAAGTCTTTGTCAGTAGTTGCTTTATATAAAAATCAGAAAACTTACTGTATTTAAAAAAATACAGTAATAGCTCAGCTATAGATCCTTTGCCTAGCATGTACAAGGCAGTGGGTTTGATCCTCAGTACTACATAAAAATAAATAAAATAAAGGTATTGTGTCCATCAAAAAAATTCTTAAGAATAAATAAATAAAATGTAAGTGAGCAATAGGAAAAATACCTGTAATCTGAACTCCAAATGTAAACAAAAGTTGTTAAGGTTGTAGTTTTCCAGAATTTACCTATGCCTATGAATATAATGATATTTAAATTCATACTGGATATAATCATTGAAAGCTATGAGCCTGAGACTTGCCTTATCTTTTTAAAAATGAAGTGTAATTTTCCTTTCATGAAAAGAAATAGATATGCTATAATACTACTTTATACCTGCTATTATATCACAAAGTCTTTAATAGCAATTGTTTGCATTGGTATTTTTAATATCAGTTCACCATAATTAGTCTAGTGTTACCTGGTATATAATGTGTACTTTTGATTTTAGGTGGTAAGAAAATATTTTAGGTCTTAAAAAACTTTGGATAGCATTGTAAGAAAGTTTTTACCTTTTTCAGTTTTCTTTCTGCTTATGATAACGAAAATCTGTTTGATGCTTGTCTTTAACAGTCTTTTATTTTGTTCATTTTTTTTTCATAGCCTTCAGCAACCTCTAACTAAAATTTCAATAATAGATTTATCATTTCTTTTATTTTCAACTTATCTCTTAAAAGAAATAACAAGTGATATTAACTTTTAATTTATGCCAGAGATTACATCTCCTTTTAAAATAAATTTAAAGAAAATACACTGTTTAAAATATATTAAGTAAATGATAACGTATCGATGACTAGGGTTTGGTACAAATTCTGATGATGACAGACAAATGATAAAACACTGCTGTTTAAAATTTTAAGTTACTTGTAAGTTTTCCCCACTATAAATATGGCTGCAGTGAGCATTTGTATAGCTAATTATCTTTTTTGTATAAAAAATAATTATAGACGATATCTTTTGTATAAAGTAGTAGAACAGAACAAGTGTGTTTGGAGCTCCTTGTTTTTGTGTGTATTTTCATATAATCTTAAATCCAGAGATTATACTGCGAATGAGAGTCCCTCTATTCCCCTATTCTAGTTATAGAATAGTTATTCCCCTAACTCAGCTAATTTCCTCTTCTTTAGACTTGACATGTTCATTTCTTACCCCTCAATATTTAATAAGTTCATTCACAAGTACCTAGTTTTACAAACTTTACAACCCGAATATTCAATCCAATAGTTATTCTGAAACTGTGAAGTCATCCATGTTATTATCATCATTTTAATTTGATGATAGTTCTATCTTTTAAAGAAAGTGATCCCAAAGAAAAATTATCATTGATATTAATGATACTTTTTTCCTGTAGCTTGCCGAGTTTCGACAAAGAAGAGCTCGATTGGATGGACAAAACCCTCATAAGAAGCCAAAAAAGAAGAAAACCTCAAGCAGTAAAAATGATGTTCATGGCTTGAATATTGATCAATCAAAGAGTGAGGAGACGTTCATAAATAGTTCTCAGGGTGTTGGATCGGCCGTGATGCCTGAATCCACAATAATGAGAACTCTAAACAATGAAGAAATGCTTAAGCATGAGCAGGTCTTTTGTGTTGATGTAAGTATTCATCCAGATTTTAAAACATTCTACCTCTAACTAGAAAGTACTGGCAGTGAAAAGTCATTAGCATCCACCTGAGGGAAGCTTGACAAAGTCATTGACTTTTTAGCATCAAGAACTGATGATTCTTTTAAAGAACTTGAACTTTTCTGATGGCATGTTAAGGATTTAGTTTTATTTAAAAGAGTTACATGAATTAGAGGAATGGTGTCTTTGATGCTTTTGGCTTATAGATGACATCTACTATATATGTAAAAGTTCTTGGTACTTTTGTATTTATAACAATGCCTTGTGATAAATTTTATATGCATTATTATAAGTCATTGTAATTCATAATGAAATGAAATTTTTAAAGATTTGGATAATTTTTACTAGTTTTTTAATAGTATTTTTGTGAATTTTCTATCATCGTTACTAACAGCAACGTCTTAGTAAAGCAGGATTTTTTTTTTTTTGTAAAGTATGATATTTAGCAGGGGGAAAATGTCATAATTGTAGTCATGTTTTACTTTTGTTTTAGCCGGAAAGTGAGATTTCAACCACAGCAGATGATTACTCTTCGGAGGTAAGACTAACATATCCCAATTAAAAATGTCATAGATAAAATTGATATTTTTTTGAAATTATTGATTGTTGGTACTTTATTTCTTATAAATTTATATAAGAAATAAAGTACCAACAATTAATATAACTTAACATAATATAATATAAATGGATTGAAAAACTGAAAATTATATTTACTGCTGTATCTTTTTCCAGTGGTTAGCTAAAGTCTTACTGTTTGAATTGCTTAATCCTTAATTATATAGCAGCCCTATTTTGGTTTTTAGGAAAGTGAGTCTGCATTTCTAGGACCCATGACCATTTTAAGATAGCCATTTAGCACAGTAAAAATTTTATAATTTAGTATGATTTTTATAGTAATGCTTTTTACAAATGTTTGAATACTAGTTTTATATATATATATATATATATATATATATAATGTGTTTATTGGAATTAATGTTACTGTAGTGTTGTGTGTGTACGTGTGTGTTACTGGGCATTGAACTCAGGGCCTTGTACATGGCTAGGAAAGCACTTTATCACCAAGCTACATTCCCAGCCCTTTTTCAGTTTTATTTTAAGATAGCCAATCTATCTTTGAACTTATGATCCTCCTGTCTCATCTTCCTGAGAAGATGGGATTGACGGTGTGCATCACCATGCCTGACAATGATGATTTTTATTTTAGGTGATAAACTGTAAAATAGGCATTGGTCTCTTAAGAAATACCTGCCTTCTTTATATGTTTGCAATAAGTATCACTTTGTTATCTTATTCTTTTTAGATATGATTGTCATTTCTTTGCTTCCAAATTTAGAGTACATGGAAAATTATTCTTTACTCTGAATGTTTAAGCAACTTAGTATATTTCATAAGTCTGAATTTATTGTAGGCTTCTAATGGAAAAACTAGGTTCTTTTTTTTTTTAAGAGAGAGAGAGAGAATGAATGTGAATCTTTTTTGTAGATGGACACAACATGATGCCTTTATTTTATTTATTTTTTAATGTGGTGCTGAGAATCAAACCCAGGTCCCGCCCATGCTAGGCGAGTGTTCTACCGCTGAGCCACAATCCCAGCTCGAAAAACTTGTTCTTAAATTAACATATTACAGTTTTTATTTTTGTTGTTTGGGTGTGGGTGTGTGTTTGTTACTGGGGATTAAACCCAGGGGTGCTCTACCACTGAGCTACATTCCAAGCTGTTTTTATTTGAAACTGACTTGCTAAATTGCTCAGGCTAGCCTTGTACTTGCAAACCAGAATTATCTCAACTTTATCCATGGTGTGGTTGACTCTGAGGACCTGCCTCTGAACATTTCCCAAGAAAATGCTCCAGCAGAGCAAAATCTTGAAAGTCATTCACAAAGACATTGTTAAAATTTGCCTTGAGCTTTTTTCTGAGCTGGCACAAAATAAAGAAAACTACAGGAAAAAAAATGTCAGAGGCATTCTCTAAAACTCTCTAAAACCCGGAAGCTCTGAGGACTCCCAATAATTACTGATGCCTTTCTGAGCTGCTTGACTATCATACCTCCCAGTCTGGAGGTGAGATCACTTTTCTGTCAAAAATATCTGTTGCCTGAAGGAGACTCAGGTCTCATCACTGATGAAAGCAAAGATCAGATAGCAACTCTGCTTTTGTGGAGGGGAGAAACAGGGCTTTCAGGTTGTGTATTGGTGAGTATTGCATGCTGTAGCTTGGGGAATTTGGTGGGAAGGCCTGCAACTAACTAAAGATGGGGATGAGAAGAATGAAATGGAGGAGAGTGAGGTGAAGTTTGAGAACTCTTCTGCAAACTTATGAAAGAAATCTTAGATAAGAAGTTGAGAATCTTAGTTATGAAGGTTGTGACAATCCTCCAGTAGGCTGTCTTCAACCTGCTGCGTTGTGACTAGCACTCAGGGCTGAACAGCGAACTCAGAGCAGATCATAACAGTCCAGGCACTTCAAGACAACTCTACAATGGGCAACATGATGGCCAGAAAGTACTTGGAGATAGATCCTAACCAACTCATTGTGGGGCATTATAAATAAGTTTAAACTGAATTAGAGGAGAACTAACTGAATATTTGCTATAGAGGTATTAGATATAATTATTATACTGGGTAAATAATTTATGTAATACTGATAATATGATATTTGACATGATCTTTGATGAATATTTACAAATATTCATTTTATTACACTGTTACTTCAAAATAGAAATTTTAGTGTGTACTAAAATCAGAATGTGTCATTTCTGAGTCATGAAAAACTAATTGAAATTTAGAAGTATTATAATTTGAAAATTATCACAAGTGACTTTATATCTAGAATTAGTATTCCTACATTCTTGTGGTTTTTCACCAGTTGCAATAATGTGTTAACAAAAGTTGTTTTTTTGCCTTCCCTTTAGCTTTATTTCTCAGAGATTATTCTTAGAATTAAAGTAGAGCAATCAAACTGATTTTTTAAAAGTCTCTTAGTTAGGACCCTCCCCCCCCTTTTATTTGGCAATTGTGGGTATTGGGCCTTGCACATGCTAGGCAGATGCTCTACAACTGGGCTACATCTTCAGTCCTAGAATTTTTACTTTTTAAAGTGTCATGGCTCATATAGACTTAATCCTAACTCTAGACATTCTGACTAGTCTGACCTACATATTTCAGTGTTAACAATTTCATTCTCCTGGGTTCTATTAACATAGAATTGTGAAGGCTTAAGATATGGGCAGGAATGTGGGCAGGAATGAAGTTGTTTTTTGTACTCTTAGTGGTAAAAAGGCAATTAAATGATTAATTGATAAAAAATTAATTTCCCACTCGATAAACTCTATATACATATTCTATCATCCTCCTTTCTCTTACTACAAAATATCTGTACTACAGACAAGTGGTGATATGTTAAAGTAAACCCCCACATCTGTCTGGATTGGCATGACTAGCAGTAGTACTATCCCCAGAGGAAAGTTCTTAGGGGAGTGTTCTTTACCTCTTTATTTCCCTTGGCTTGCTTACTAGTCTTTAATAAAATTTATACCAGTAAATGGTTTTATTTGAAAATAAATAGGGCTTAATTTTAAAAATATATTTAGCTAATTTTAAGGAAGCATTTTGTAAAAGAAGATCTAGTAACTTGAAGCTTTTAGAAAAGATATCAGAAAGATAACTTCAGAAAGTTATCTTTCTGAAGACTAAATAGGAACTGCACTTAGAGCTTCAGTTACTTAAATGAAAGTGTCTTTTGCATTGTAAGAACTTAGATGTTTGAGGAATGATTGACATTTGATATGCCTCTTAGATACTTCAGTTAAATATAATCACCATATTTGTTTTGCTATTAAGGCATTTTCCCTAGATGTAAAAGATACACACTTAGTAGAAATATTATTGTTAGGTAAATAAAATTTGGTCTATCATAATATATCAGGAAATTGTTTTTATACAGGTAAATGATTGCTGTAATGTGGTGAAAACAGGAAAGCCTACCAATTTATTAATGGTACAGTATATAAAACTACTCATGATACTAATGTTTTTTATTATTTAAAACCATTTGACTTACTAACCAAGCTTTCTCCTGTATGTAATTCTTTCTGTATGTGATTTCTAAAAGTTACTAGATCTTCTTTACTGCTTAACAAAACAAAGTTACCTCATTTTCATTATAACATGGAATTGGAACAAAATTTGCAGATATGCTGTTTAGGTGCTTTTAAGGTAATATCACATTAATAGCAAACCAGATTGCCATAGAAGTGAACTTCAAAGTGAAGAGTGATGTTTTAAAGTGGATTTTGCTATGGAATTCAATATTCGAATTCCCCTCTCAGGAATGTTGCTAGTACTGAATTATTAAAAATATTGGATTGATTTAGGAAGAAGAATTTGGTGTCGTTGATTCTTATTCTGAACAAGGCGCACACTATAGTGAGACTCGCCTAGAGTTGATAGAAAACGAATTAGTTGGGAAACCCGAACATGAGCCTGAAGAACTGAACAGAGAACTGGATGAAATGAGGGCCACCTATGGGACTGAAGGATTCCATCAGGTACATTTACCTTCTGTGGCCTTAGTTTGCTACTCACAAAAACAAAAACAGGAAAATTTTTTTTAAATATTTATTTTTTAGATTTTTTTTAGGTAGACACAGTATCTTTATTTTACATTTATGTGGTGCTGAGAATCGAACCCAGTGCCTCACGCATGCTAGGCAAGGCACTACCACTTGAGCCACATCCCCAGCCCTCCAGGAAATTTTAATGATAGTTTATGTATTTAATGAGAATTACAGGTGTTAACTTAAGATTATCTCATTCACGAGAAAAATGGGATTCTTGCACATAGTATTAAGAATCCCATTTTACAACTAGAATTCAACTAATAGAGGTAACATGTATGTTACTTTGTTTATTTAACTTAATAAGATAGAGTAAAATAACTTTAGTGATTTCAGGATAGATGTTTTTCTAATGAGCCTGAAAGAAAATTGTGGTATAAACCACATTTTTTAAAAAATGATGACTTTAACCCATTAAGAATATTAGCAAGTCCCTGTAAATATTCTCTGCAGTTAGAGTGACATCTCTTGTATTAAGTAATCAGTTATGAACTCAAGATGAAAATGGGACATTAATGAGGATGACAGAATAGATTTCAGTTACATCTTCTCCAAAAACAAGTTGGTGGTGTTGCCTGGTAACAGATTGGGGGAGCTCCCCAATATAAAGGCATTTGCTTCTAGAATTAGATATATAGAAAAGCCAGAACAAGTGAAAATTTTTTGCATGTGCACATTAATTTCTTTGAGATTGATTTGAAAATAAAACAAATTTCTTAAAGCTCATAGCTTTCAAATATGGGAGATAGCATACAAATTGTAAGAATTCCACTAATGTGTTTTGAATCTCATATTTTTTTAAAAAGTTGCTTGTAATGATGATAATCAGTTTTATGTAAAATATAAGCCTAGAATGTAATTCTTTTCACTGATTTTCTTTAGTTACAAGAATTTGAAGCAGCAGTTAAACAAAGAGATGGTATTATCACACAGCTCACCGCCAATTTACAACAGGCAAGAAGGGAAAGGGATGAAACGGTGAGAGAATTTTTAAAGTTGACGGAGCAAAGTCAAAAATTGCAGATTCAATTCCAACAAGTAAGTATTATAAGTAGAATGAGACTTACTCGATTTTTATAACAAATTTTTAAATTTTTTCACTTTCTAGAACAAATCTGTTATAAAGCCATTTGTTTATTCGTACTGGAAAAACTAGTGAATAAGTGTTATGTTAATCAAGAATTTAATTTATACTTCTTGGGTAGTTTCTTGCTGTTGTTTTCTTTGTGCTTCTTCCCTGTCTCTATTTAAAAATTCTACAAAGTCTTATCAGGTGTATTTTTGCAGAAATTAACCTGCAGTTACCACCCTACTTTTTCCAACTCTGATATGGTTTTATGTTAATTAGGTTCTCAATTATAACTAGACTGACAACTGGATATATTCCATTTATCTTTAGTTGGAACTATAATCTAAATGCATTAAACAAAAGGGAGGAATTTAAGGTAAGAATACAGGCTTATTTATAGAACTTAAGGGCAGAAATACAATCAGAACTCTGAGAGAAATTGGAACTAGAGTTTGAAAAGTCATCAGAAATCCAGGAAGAACTTTCAGTCCGCATTTTTCTCTGCCTGTCTGCCTGTCTTATTTCTCCTATTTTCTCAGCTTTATAATGTGAAAGGTAAATTCTTTGGCTCATTACCCAAAGTGCACATTACCTATCAGCATGTTGACAGCATGGAAACTTGTTGACTGAGATTGTAAGCCTTTGAAGTGAGCATAGTTTCCAGAGAACCCCTGAGGGCTGAGGGTACGATAAAGTATCACTTCAAAATTTAATATTTTGAGGTTTCTTTCTATTTTCAAGTTACAGGCTAGTGAAACTCTACGAAACAGCACTCACAGTAACACAGCTGCAGATTTACTGCAAGCCAAACAACAGATTCTCACTCATCAACAACAGCTTGAAGAACAAGACCATCTATTAGAAGATTATCAAAAAAAGAAAGAAGACTTCAAAATGCAAATTAATTTCTTACAAGAGAAAATTAAAGTATATGAAATGGTATGTATATCTTAAGGAAGTCAACCTACTTATAGCAGCTTTGTAGTTAACTTTAAAGTTTTTAATGGAGGTGTTTATCTTTTTTTATGCATATGCACCACAAAATTTCATAATTGAGACAAACTCTTTGAGTATATAAAATAATATATTTCAAAAGCATTGAGAATTTCGTAGTAATGGTTTTAAAGATGATACTACTCATTACTTTGCTCCTTAAAAGTGATCTGCCTATGTTAAACTGAAATCTCATGAGAATCTATTTTTATAACTAGGATTTCTATCCTTTTTCCCCCCAACTAAATTTATTTCTTCTTATTTTAGCCATGATTATAAAATTCTGAAAAAGAAATTTTGTAAATTTAAACTATAAAAAAATGTGGTTGATTCTTTTTATTCACTTGAATTATATTCCAGTTTGGGGAAATTATTTAGTCAGTAAGTGCTCCTGATAGGAAATGTATCACATGGATTGTAATCTTTAATCTTAAAAACAATTCATGCTAGTAGATTCCATTTTTTTGTTTGTTTGTTTTTTGAGAAGTTGAAGTTTAGATGTGATTTGCCTGAAGCTGCCCCATTAACAGGTGCCAGAGTTGAGATTCTGAGCTCCTTGCACTACACTGCACTCTGATCCTTGCCATCTCTGTCCTCTTTTTTTCTCTATGAGAGCTGAAACAAGGCAGTGTGATCACCGTGTTTGAATGTAGCTGAACATCATTTTACAGTAACTCAAATTTCTTGCCATCACTCTGTGCGTGTCTACAAATGTCTATGAAAGCACCATTGGTATGGATTTGTGGGTTTCAAATAAATTTGAGCAAGTAGGCAAATACAGAATCTGTGAATAATGAAGATGGAGAATACATATAATACAGCATATTTTATAAACTTAGAAGATTCTACAGAAAATTGAGAAATTACCAAGACAAGAATATTGTCTGGATAACAAAAGCATTAACTAGCACTTATTAACTACTTACTCTATAACAGGCAGTATTCAAAGCCTCTTACACATATTAATGCATTGAATCATCACTACAGCCCTATGAGATAAGGGTACCTTTATCATTTACATTTTACAAATGATGGTACCAAGATAACGCAAGATGAAGGAAATAATCCAGGTGCAGAAGTGATATATTGATAGAGCCAGATTTCAAAGCTCAGTTATCTGACTCCAGAGACTCCTCTTTGAAAAATAGGAAATGTACAAATTAAAATTATGAGAAGGGCATGCTTTTCAACTAAGGTAATTTAAAGATTATGCAAGTGTTTACAGAATACCTATTATGTAGTAACCCTTGCAAAAGATATATGATGAACCTTAAGATGTCCCCTTTCTTCACTGAACCCATGGAGAGGTGTGGCATGTACACAAGTTACCACAAAATAAAAAGTAAGTGCAAGTAACAAGTGTTACGAATGTTTTTACTAGGTCTGCTTTATGAGGAAAAGATTCAGGGTAGACATCAGCAGGGAGGTAATATTTGAGATAGATCTATAAATTGGAATAATGTGGTATTTATATTTTGTTTACCCATAAATTGGTATAATATATGGAACATAATAGCTATTCAATACCTATTTGGTAATCAAGAGAATTGTTTATGAATTCATGACAAATAGAGATAGGCAGGATATTCTTTGGGGGGTGTGGAGTGGGCATAAAGACCCAGGCTGAAATGTTGAAAATGTATAGGAAGCAAAAAATAATTTACTTAGAAAGCAATAGGCTTTGGAAGTGTCTTTCTGGAGGGTAAAAGTAGAAAGATAATCGAGGCCTAGGTTGAAAGTGCCCGGATCTAGGATTTTATTATCTCTTATTGTCACTAGGCAGTATAATTTCAGATTATCTAAAATTTATGTAATTCATTTTAGTAATGAAAATAAACTGTTTATTTGAATGTTAGCAACAATACTTTTATTGTTCTTCTTATTATTATATTTTAATTTCTCAGTTTTCAAAAAATTTAATCCCTTTGAACAAGTAGTTCTGTCAGAGCAGCTGAAGTAACTATATTGATGGTCAAAGGCTCATTATCCTAATCCTCCAAACCTCCTGTGTTATAGTAGTCACAAACAGGAAGTATATTATTCCCCACTCTTTCAGGTGTAGTTCTAAAAATAGAGGATTACATCCTTGACTGAAGGGCTGTCAGTTTTGTAACATAGAACAAGTAATTTAAAACCATGTAATTTGAAAAAAGCTAAACAAAGAAAACTGTGAATTTGTGGTGTTTAATAGTTGAATGAAGAATTATGGTTAGTTATTTATTAATCATGTTAGGTGTTGGACAGTGTTGAATTAAGTTTTCTTTTATGAGGAGTGTTCCTTTCATCTTATAGAAAATCAGGAAATAAAATTATAACAGATTTTTATATCAACGTTAGCATTTTTCAAAACTAGTTATTATTTAACAGTTTAGCTAAAATTGACCATCATGAACTGATTTTACTTTTTAAAAAATTTTTTTAGTTGTAGATGGACACGATATCTTTATGTATACATTTATTTTTATGTGGTGCTGAAAATTGAACCCAGTGCCTCACGCGTGTAAGGAAAACACTCTACCTCTGAGACCCAGCCCAGTACTGATTTTACATTTTATATAGATTCCAAATGATTTATAAATTTCTTTCTAGTATATGAATATATTTGTATAAAGTTCAGTAAAAATAAAATACCTTAATTATTTTATTTTAGCCTCAAACACGTTCTGGGAGATAGAGGATATTGTACAGATAGAAATACCAGGATTAACAGATTTACTAATGTTGCATTCTAGAGTAGAAATTAAGAAGGCTCAGCACTTGGTAATAACATATGGTGTAATTGGAAAAGGAATATGTGACACTAAGACAACAGCTCATAGTCTCACTCAAGAGGCTGCACAAGATAACCTTGGTTTATGTGGTGTAAAATTTGGCCTTTATTTGTTAGGCTCAGAAGTCATGTTTTTTTTTTTTCTTGAGCTATATCAGAGGTGAATTAGTTCAAGAGGTTAATGTTTAAGTCTAAATATAAGACTGTGAATTTACAATGAGAAGTAATTATCACAAACTTCGGATTTTAAGCTCATTGGATTTTATTTTCTTTCTATGGACAGATGAATTTTAAAAGCCAGGTAATAATTTAAAAAGTTGTTTATTAAGTATTAGATGAAGGGGTGTTGGAGGAATCAGATGTTCAGTGGCATGAGGTTGAGATAACCTGTTACATCCATCTCAGAGTTGTAATGTTCATGTCTGTAGACTAGACTCCTTAAATGCTCCTTGCTGTAACTCCCAACATTGTTTTCTGCATTAAGTATGGTTTTTCGAGAGGGATCAGACTTCTCAAAGGTTGACAGTGTGTTGGTCTTCTTCCAAGAACTATACTCAATTGATCAATGCCTACATTTTCTTAGTACATTCATTCTAGGCGCCTAGAAGTCCTGTTTGGCAAGGACTCGTGTCTCCTTAAGATAACTTTACTTCCTTACCCATATTTTCATCAGTTATATGGATTTCACTTATTTCCTTGGCTTTGGGACTACAGCTCTTAACTGTTTAAGGAATATGCGTTAATATGTCTTGTCTTAGCCTAATCTCCAGTTCCAAAATTGAGTCCCCAGATAGGAACTGGGGAAAATTATCTGATAGTCTTTTATATTTCTGTTTGAACTGTGGGTCTAAGCCCAAGTTGGTATGCCGTAAATATACAGTAGTGGTCTTAGGTGTTACTTGATGTTCAGTCACTTAATCATTGCATATCCCTAAATTTCTAATTCACTTGTTAGCCTAATCTCCAGTTCCATAATTGAGTCCCCAGATAGGAACTGGGGAAAATTATCTGACAGTCTTTTATATTTCTGTTTGAACTGTGGGTCTAAGCCCAGGTTGGTATGCCGTAAATATACAGTAGTGATCTTAGGTGTCACTTGATGTTCAGTCACTTAAGCATTGCATATCCCTAAATTTCTGATACACTTAAAACAACAGGAATGAAGTTAAGGAAGACTTAAAGGAATCCACTTTAGTTCTTGTTGTTTTTCTCATTTTATAGCATTTGTCCATGAAATACCTTCAAATCACTAGAATCCAGGGGAGGACCAATATTTATTTTTTTTGTTTGTTTCTTCTGAGAATCCAGGGGAGGACCTGTTTTTATTTTTTTTTGTGTCTTCTGAGAGTGTCTAGAGAGTATGTAGTACTATAACTAGCCATCAGAAATACTTAATATTTAGAATGTTGACCAGTTAATAAGAAAAATGAAAATGTGATGGTTTATATAGATATTTTAGTCAGACTGGTTTTTGTTTTGTTTTGCTTTTTTGGTGGTGCTAGAGATCAAACCCAAGGCCTCACACATGCTAGGCAAATTAGATTGTATTTTTAAATTTAAATATTTAATCACAGCACAATGTAAGAGAAATTTTTTCCCAAGAAGGGTAAAACTGTTATATTGTTTGCTCATATGTACTGTCAGGTAGGTAAGCCCTAGGTCTCCTTGTACTGGGAAAAACGGGGGGCAGGCCCAACAGTTGCTTTTTATAGAATTACATAAAAAGGAGACACTCATAAGAAGTTGCCAGAAGCTAATAATGTCATTCTTATATTTTCATTTTCTTTTCTTTCTAAAGGAACAAGATGAAGTAGAAAAGTCAAATAAAAAAGAATTACAGGAAAAGGAGGCAATCATCCAGGCGTTAAATATAAGAATAATAGAAGAAGAAAAAAAGAATCTTGAGCTAAAAGATCAAGTCACAGCCACTGAAAAATTAATGAGAGAATTACAAGAACAATTTGCAAGTATGAAATTAGAGCTGGCTAATTCTAAGCAAAAAGAAAGACAATGTTCTGAAGAAATAAAACAGTTAATGGGTACAGTTGAAGACCTTCAGAAAAGACATCATTACATAAATAGCCAGTTTGAATCTGATGTGATAGAAAGAATGGTGGAACAAGAAATGCAGAAAAGATTAGAACAACTCCGAGCAGATATGGATGAAATGTATGGGCAACAGATAGTACAGATGAAACAAGAGTACATGTCACAGATAGAGGAACTTAAAGCACAACATAAGGAAGAAATTGAGAGTGTTTTAAAATCACATTTAAATATTACAATTAATGAAGATCAAATAAAGTTAATGAATGTGGCAATAAATGAACTGAATATGAAATTACAAGATACTAATGCTCAAAAGGAAAAACTCCAAGAAGAACTAGGAATAGTTTCAGGAGAAAAATCTACTCTGCAGAGACAACTTGATGACCTTTTTGAAGAATTGAACTTTTTAAGGGACCAAATTCAGAGAGCTAGAATGATAATAGCTGAACAAGAAAGTCAACTGAATGAAGCACATAAGTCCCTTAGTACAGTGGAAGCTTTAAAAGCTGAGATTGTTCTGGCATCTGAATCTAGGAAAGAACTAGAGTTAAAACATGAAGCAGAAGTTACAAATTACAAGATAAAACTGGAAATGTTGGAAAAAGAAAAAAATGCTGTATTAGACAGAATGGCTGAATCACAAGAAGCTGAATTAGAGAGGCTGAGAACACAGCTCCTATTTAGTCATGAAGAAGAACTTTCGAAACTAAAAGAAGATTTAGAAGTTGAACATCGAATAAATATTGAAAAACTTAAAGATAGCTTAGGCATTCACTATAAACAGCAGATAAATTGCTTACAAAATGAAATGAGTCAAAAGATAGAAATAATGCAATTTGAAAAAGATAATTTGATAACTAAGCAGAATCAGTTGGTTTTGGAAATTTCAAAACTGAAAGATTTACAGAAGTCCATCATGGATTCAAAATCAGAAGAAATAACCCTTCAAATGCATGAGCTCCAAGAGGAAATCGAAATATTAAGACAAGAAAAAAAAGAAAAAGGTACGCTTGAACAAGAAGTTCAGGAATTACAACTTAAAATTGAATTATTGGAGAAACAAATAAAGGAAAAAGAGGATGACCTTAAAGAAAAGTTTTCACAACTTGAAGCAGAAAATAACATTCTTAAAAATGAGAAAAAAGCTATTGAGGACATGTTGAAAATTTATGTTCCTGCTGAACAAGAAGAAAAATTGATTTTCATTGACTCCAGCAAGTCCATATCCAAAGATTGTAGCTGGCAAAAAGAAATGGAAATGCTTGCAAAAGAGAATGAGGCCCTCAAGCAACAGTGTATTCAGCTAAATGAAGAAATTGAAAAGCAAAGAAGTACATTTTCATTTGCTGAAAAAAATTTTGAAGTTAACTATCAAGAGTTACAGGAGGAGTATACTTGCCTTCTCAAGGTAAAAGATGATTTAGAAGATAGTAAAAACAAACAAGAATTAGAGTATAAAAGTAAACTTAAAGCACTTAATGAAGAGCTTCATTTACAAAGAATAAATCCAGCTACAATCAAATTGAAAAGTGCCATGCTTGATACTGACAAGGCTTTTGTCGCAGAGCCATTAGAAATCTGTGAAGTTGTTGAGAAAGATACAACAGAACTTATGGAAAAACTTGAGGTAACCAAGCGAGAAAAGCTAGAATTGTCAGAGAAATTGTCTGATCTCTCTGAACAATTAAAACAGAAACATGGTGAGGTTAATTTTCTCAGTGAAGAAGTCAAATCTTTAAAGCAAGAAAAAGAGAAAATTCTATTGAGATGTCAAGAGCTAGAACTCCTAATTAACCATCATAGAGCAGAAAATATAAACATGTGTGATGTTCATTTAAGCTCTTTACAAGATGGAATAGTAACTATTATAAGCAAGGATTCTCAAGGATCATTATCTAATGTAGGTGAAGATTTTGGAGAAGAATCAAAAACAGTAGTGGAAGAGAAAATTTCTTTTGAAAATGTGGCTATTAGAAGAGAAAGCAAGCAAGAACAGTTATTTTCACCATCAGTAACAAATGAATCCTCACTTGGGACAGATCAATCAAGTGAAAACGATAAACTCCATCAGGAACTTTATGTTCTTAAATCAGAACAGGTATGTTTATTTATTTACATATGGTATAGCACAGTGAAAATGTACATTTCATGCTAAAAAGAGTTTTCACCTTAAAACAAATTCATAAAAGAGAATGAAAGTGAATCATGTAATTCTCATTTGGATCTATCATTTTTATCATTTAATTTTCCTATTTTTTCTTAAACACTGTTTTTCTTTTAGCTAATCTATTACATATTCTGCTCAGGAAATAAAGCAATATTTTCTTTGTAAAGACAATAGTTTAAATAATATTGTTTAGAATCTCAACTTTACAAAAGTTATTGATTTTATAACTTAGTATTTTGTTGCAATTTCAAAAACTTTTAGAGTTTTTATTTCATACTGGTCTTTTTCAAGGTTCCACAATTGTAAACAAACTCATGAGTGTTTTAGAACCTTATGCAGTTGTTCAATAGTTATAAATTCTTTTTCCTTTGTGCAAGAAAAACACTTAAGTCCTAGAGTTTTTTGAGTTTTATACCTGAGGAGGAAAAAAATAGTATTAATTCTCTGTATAGCTAAAGAAATAAAACACATAAAATAATAGGTTGTTTCCTTTTATGTCAGCTATTGATATTAGAAATAACAGAAAAGTCTGATGTGTATCTTCAGTATGATAATGCTAAATAAACTTTTTATAATTAAAAACATCTTTTAGCTATAGATGGACATTTTACCTTTATTTTATTTATTTATAATATGGTGCTGAGGATTTAACCCAGTGCTTCACACATGCTAGACAAGCTCTCTACCATGAGCCACAACTGTAGCCTGCTAAAAAACTTATGTGTTTCTAAAACTTAGGTAATAAATATCTTTTGCAGATATAAGAGTTTAGTGTTGAAAGAGAGAAGAAGTTAAAGTATATATTTCAGTGAGGAAGGCAGGTAATAAATGAAAAAATAAGACAGAAATATTGTGACAGTCTATGAAGAAATAAAACAGGGAAGCTCACAAAAGAAATTGAAAATGATGGGTGGAGGTGGGTGGTGGTCTGGAGCTTGGAGGAATTAACACTTGAACTGAGATTCGAATGAGAGGGAGGAAGCTGCACTATGGAAATTAGAGCAGTTGTACCATGAGTAAATTTGAGGAACTGAATTGAAGGCCTATGTAGTTGAGTTTGAGAAGAGTTTGAAGAAGGAAAAAACTCAATCATAGGGAGCCCTTATAGACTTTGTAAGTTTAGATTTTTATCCCTAAGTACAATAGGAAGTCATTGGAAAGTTTTCTGTTTTTATTTCTAATGACATGTTCATGTTGATGATCTTATCAAATGTGGTCATACTTTACGTTTTTAATAACTTGAATAGAGCCAAGAAATTCAAATTGCTTAACTACTATTGCTATGTTAAATATTGCAAATTGTTTTTAAAACTATAAATGATGATTACTCCTAAAAAATGTCAGACATAATTTAAATTTTATTAAAAAGCATTATTCGAAGAAGACCTGAATTTGAAGCACATTTGTCAAATTGGTGAAATTTTCTTAATAGGAATTTTGTTTCTGTATTGAAGATACTTGCAATGGTATTTAGATACTCTCTCCTTGAAATTAACTGAACAAAGTGAAGAAAAGCAAGTCTGTAAATTGCTCCCATTTTTCATTACTAAAATAAACCCCATCATTGATACAGAGGGGAGTAAGGTGTGTATGCAGGTGGAGGGAAGCTCACAGAAGAAATTGAGCGGTGACTTACATAGTGATACTGTTTACTTGTCTGAAATACTGCAGAGGCAACAAAATACTCCTACTCTCAGTATTAAACTTAGTAATTAGAGCAGATATATCTCACTGAAACCAAAATAAATGCGTCTGTTAAGAATTTTTAACTGGCCAGCTGCAGTGGCAAACGCCTGTAATCCCAGCTGAGGGAAGCTGAGGCAGGAGGCTAGTGAGTTCAAAGCCAGCCTTAGCAACAGTGAGGCGGTAAGCAACTCAGTGAGACCCTCTGTCTAAATAAAATACAAAATAAGGATGAGATGTGGTTCAGTGGTCGAGTGCCCTGAGTTCAATCCCCAGTACCAAAAAAGAAAAAGAAAAAAATAATTTTTTAACTGAAAAGAAAGAAATGAATAGTTTTGAAGTATATTTCCAGATTATCAGAGAGTCTTTTCAACATTGGGGTGCAAGAAATAAGGAGTGGCAAGAACATTATAGATATTGGCTAATTATTGATGCTGAGAGAAGCCATAAATTCAAGTGTGTGTGTTTAAAATTAGAGGTAATTATTGGTATTGGAAGAGATACTTGAGCTTAGAAACATATACTGGAGCTTAGAAACCTCAAGAGGAACCATAATATCAGTTCTGTGAGTGAAGAGACACTACTATATAGGCTATATAGACAGCTGCTATATCCCTAGTACCTAGAATAATGTTTTGCACATGATCAGCAGTTAATAATGTTTTATGAATGGACGAATGAGGGGTGAATAGGGGAAATAAACAAAGCCGTTTTATCAAGAATCAGCAGTGAATCAGGATAGGCCTTCATGTTAGAATGAAAATTAGAATAGCTTTTGTCGATTGCTATTTAGCATTGTTCTATAAGCCTAACCATTCCAAAGATAAAAAGATACATGGCATAAATAGAAATAGATAATTCACAGGTGTAATTAAGAAATTGAGAAAAAAAATCTAAGCAAATAAACCAAAAAACCTAATGTAAAATAAATGTCAAAAATAGCCAAAAATATGTAAGACCAATATAAATAAGAATACTTTAATGAAAAATATTTGAATAAATGAAAAGTCTTATTTCTGAGTGGGCAATTTTTTATATTACAGAATTTCAGTTATCTCTAGATTTATCCAACTTAAAAAGTTACGGAAATTTGACTTAATTGGTTTATAGTTCATCTGGAAGAGTAAATGCACAAGTAGAGCCATGAATATTTTTTTTTAAAAAAGTAGAATGTATGTAACATGATATGTGAAAAATAATTTTTAGGTCTAAATATTATCAATTTAATAAATGAGATATTGAAATGAGTTAAGTATTCAACAGCATAGAAAAGTGTCAAGAATATCTACATTCAAAGGAAGTAGAAGGAAGGAAATAAAGAGTAAAAATAAGAGAACTTGTAATAAACAAGTGGGAAAATTTTTCAAGAACTTTGGAGGTTTATTATTTGAAAAGATTATTTACAGGTATTAGATCTCCAAAAATATAACCAAGGGGGAAAAACACATAAGCAAAATCAAGAATGAAATAAGGATATAAGTACAGGTACCACAAGAAATTGTAAAAGTCATAAATAATGCTACAAATAATCTTTGCCAATAGATTTGAAAATAAAAGCAAACTCTAGATGGTGTTCTGGAAGAATATAAATTACCAGAACTAATGCAAATAGAAATGGATAAGTTCAAATGACCATTAAATATAAATGAATAAGTCAGTAATCATTAAAGAGTTTGAAGTAGTGGTCAGAAGTTTTCCCTTTTGCCTCATCTCAAACCAAAATGCTAGACTTTAAGACCATTTTACAAGTGATTCTTATTAACTCTCCAAGAACAAAAGTGTAATTGTCCACTAAAATAGGATTAAAGAGAGAATGGAAGAAGAAAGGAAAGAAGAAAAACTGAAGAAAGAAAAACCACCCAGTTCACCTTAGAAGGCCAATATTAATATGAAGTCCTGATAGGAATTGTAAAGAAAATAAAATTGTAGAGTAATCTAACTTGTAAGTGTGGTTGCAGAAATTCCAAATAAAATATTAGCAAGTTATACCAAGAGTGGACAAATAGTTAAACATTTGAAAAAAAAATCTGTGACCGTAATCTCTACATTTTTATGTAGCAAGACAAAATCCATGATTATTTTAGTACATATCAGAGAAAAATTCATAAAAAATTTGACAGCCCATTTATAAGTTAAAAAAAACTTTAGGAAATCAGGAGTAGCAGGGAAATTTTCTATGATGCTGATTTTCATCAAAATATTGACAGATTATATTTCTGATGGTGAAATTTAGAAGCATTTCCATTAGAATCAAGTATAGGACTAGGATACATACCCATTGTCAACATTACTATTGCAACATGGTTTTGTAGTTCTTAGTGAATGCTTCTGCAGTTCTTGCAATATGACAAGAATAGGAAATGAGAAAAAATATGAAAAGAACAGGCAAAACTTTAAACCCAAGATAAGATGTTTTGAGTTTTTGTTAAGAAAATTATAAAATATTGAAGGACACAAAGACCTGACTGTGTGCTAACACATATCATATCCATAATGGAAAGATACAAAGAAAAATATCAGTTCTCTCCTAATTAATAGTTCTACTGAAAATTACAATAAGGTTTCTTAATGAATGTGGAATACTGATTCTAAAATTGATATAGAAGAGTAAATAGCCAAGAATACTCAAGACAATCCTAAAAAGTATGTATTTTGTTATCAAAACTTATTACAGAATCATTATAAACAATATGGTTTAATGCCAGGATGGTTAAGTAGATCAGTGGAATATAATGAAAAGCCCAGAACAGATCTGTATCTTGTAAAAATTTAGTATGTGGCAAGAAGGCCCTACAAATCAATGAATCACTTAGTGAATCTCTACTACATTCCAGGCACTGTTCAAGTCATTCATAATTTAACAGTGAATAAGAATGGTCAAGGAAGAATAAAGTTTACTTTTTAGGGTTTAGATGAACATTAGAAAATACAGACAAATATTTCTGGTGGTCTTAAGTGCTATGAATAAAATTACAGTATGATAAGAAGAACAAGATCTCCCTAAGTGAAGGGCTTTTTTTTGCATAGGGTAGGTCAAGGAAGACTACTTTCGTGAGATGATATTTGAGCAGAGACAAAGGAAATCAAAAAATAAACCAAATTAGCAGAAGAAGCTTTAGAGTATTCAAAATTGTTTGGGAGGAAAAAAAACAAAATTGTTTGAGCACAATTGACTTTTGATACTAGAGGTTAGAAGTTAGGGAATTAGATCCTTGTTGCTTTAGGGAAAAAAATCAGGTTGGTTAAAAATGTACACATAAGAAGAAAATAGAATCTTAAGATAGGGAAAGACTTTTAATAAAGACAAAGCATGGGAAAAGATTTAAAATTTTTATTGTATCTTTTAAAAACAATAATGTAAAACAGATTTGAGGACTGGGACTAGATATTTGCCATGTATGTAAGTTGCAAACAAAAGCTATCAAGAATATAGAAAGAACAATTAATGTAACAAGAGGTCCAAAAATAAAATAATGGCAAAAGATGTGAAAGTCATGTGCCTGAATAGGAAATCAAAGTATCTAATAAACATGGAAATATTCTTTCAACCTTACTATTCAGTGTAAAAATAAAATAACATTTTATACCCATTAGGTTGGTGAAGTTAGTCTGATATAAAGAATGGTGAGGATGTGAGTATATAAGTACTCAACCTTCTGGTAGCATTGTAAATTAGTACTGTCATATAAAAATAATTTGATCAAATCTAGCACAGTTAAAAATGCACTATCTGTGACCCAGCAGTTATATTTCTAAGTAGTTCTCAAAGTGTGGTTCCTGACCAGAAGCACAGCATTACTTGGTAACGGGTTAGAATTCAAAGCTCTTTGACCTCTCCTAAATCAGAAACCGTGGGGATGGGGATAGGTTCCTAAAGTAACCTGTTTTAATAAGCATTCCAAGTGATTCTGATGCATGTTAGATTTGAGAACCACTAATTAGAAAGAAATTAGCACATTTATCTAAGGGCCTGTGTAAGAATTTAACAGCAGTATTTTTTTAAATATCCAAAAATTAGGAATAAACCAATTTATCTCCTGAAAGGAAATGGACAAATTTTGGTATAGTCATAATACCACAGTTAAAATGAATTAACCTGTTGTCTACATGCTGCTAATTTTTTGTTTGTTTGTTTATTTGTTTGTGGTACTGGACATTAAACCCCCGTTACCTACATGGAATAATACCAGAGACATATTGAATGAGAAAATAAATTTGTAAAATTAATATTATTTGTGTAAGTCCATAAAAATACAAAATGTACAGAGCATTGAGAATGCAAAATGTATTGTAATGAGAAGTGATAATGTAAGAATTGGACTGGATTTGTAGCAAATTATGATTATGGTTGCCTGTGAGGAAGGAGTGATGAGAACATAGAAGTGTATAGGGAGTATAGGGAATGAAAAAAATAGAAAAAATGTTATAGTACTTGTTAATTTGGGTTTTGAGTTTATTGCTTGCATTTTTCCATATTTAAAATAGTATTTTAAATCCAGGCATGGTGGTGCATGCCTGTAATTCCAGCTGTTTGGGAGGCTAAGGCAGAGGAGGGTTCTAAGTTCAAGACCAACCTTGGCAACTTGTTGAGACCTTGCCTCAAAAAGGGCTGGGGTTGGGATTGTGGATCAGTGGCAGAGCGCTTGCCTCACATATGTGAAGCACTGGGTTCGATCCTCAGCACCACATAAAAATGAAAATATTGGGAAAAAAAGGGCTGGAAATGTAACTCACTGGTAGAGAGCACCCCTGGGTTCAATTCCCAGTGCCATGAAAATAAAATATTATTTGAAAATAAAAATGAAAGATAAGGAAGAGCCAAGACAACATGAGAGAAATTGGTATGAAAATTTGTTCTCCTGGTCTCCTTGGCTAACTACTCTTACACAGCTGTAGTCGATCCATTGCTGATAGTCCTCTTAGGGTTTTTAATTGGACCCTGCATCATTAACTGTTTATTTAATAAGATGTATAAAACAAAAAATACATTCTGTAAAACTGATGGTCCTCCATACTCACTACAGTATCTGTAAACCAATGATGATTAATTAATGATTTGAATAGTTCCATAAAACCATTGGGGAATGTTATAGGCCAGGCTATATAAGCAATGACCAAACAGACTTCATTTTACCCTGAGACTCCATATTACATAAGAAGTGTTTCTCCCATAGGAAAGCCCCATCACTGTACCACATTACCAATTGCCTAGCATAGCCTACTTGCAATACAGAATAGCAATTTTTACACAATGTAAAATTGTTCTCTTTGGTTCCCATTTTTCTTGGGCAGTGTACCTTATTGGGGAATAATTGTTTAGATGTTAGTAGCCATTCTTTAATTTGTATTCAACTAGGGTCACTTTGATCCATATCTCTTTTGATTATGAAAAAATCCCAGGAGAAATGAATGAGATGAAAATTTGATTAAGACATTGCATTGTTTCGCTAATGGCTTTATTCAGCTTCTGTACTGCTTCTTGCTTGCTTGCTTGCTGGTTGCCAAGTCAATCTGGATGTGGTTTTCGCCTTTAAATATCCTAAAATGTTGAGGCTCTAGGCTGTTTTCTGCAGAGACAACTTGTTCCTGTTAGGGAGCAGTCCCGGACAGTCAGAATAAAGACTCTCCAATATGGACAAATCATAAGCTATACCAAATATCAAAATTTGCTATAAAATTGAGGTAATGATACTACTCTCCTTGAAAAAAGAAGTAGCTCAGTATAACTGAATGAAGAATGAAGAAAAAAATGTCATTGGTTCTCTTATGAAGTTTTAAACTATAATTTATTTCTCCTCTTGTTTTAGTATAAGCAAAAAGTAAATAATTTTATAGTAAATTATTTTAAATTTTTCTAATATATATTCACTTTCAGAATGATTTAAGGCTACAGATGGAAGCTCAGCGCATATGCCTTTCACTGGTTTATTCAGCTCATGTGGATCAGGTTCGTGAATATATGGAAAATGAAAAAGATAAAGCTCTTTGCAGTCTTAAAGAGGAGCTTATTTCTACTCAAGAGGAAAAGATCAAGGAACTTCAGAAAATATACCAGTTAGAACTACAGAATGTAAAAACACAAGAAACAGGTAAATAGTTTCTGACTTATAATTACCATGAAGCATCACTTAGAGTCCACCATTTCATAATTCTGTCCTTAGAACTCACAGGGGAAGGTGACTTGTGTATCTAAGCCCTAGTCTTATTTGTTCATATAATTGTTGGATATTCATTCAAGTGCTAGAGAAAACTAAAATTACTGAGTCATTTTCCCATAGGAAATCATAATCCATTGGGAAAGCATATATAAAATAAACTGAAAATTTCTGAAATGCAAAGAATGGAGGGAGAAAAAAGAGTCTTGTCTTTCCTGGGGAGATGAGTAGGATGAGGGTATGGACAGGAGTAATTGGGTTGGAAATTTGGGGAAGGCTATGGAGTCTTAAGCATTGAGCTCTATCTAAGATTGCATCCATTTGGGAGAACTGGGAGTTCAGGTTGTGTTAGCTAGATAAAACTGGAGAGATTGGAAGGAGCTTGATCAGGAAAGGTTTTATGTACTCTGATGAAACATGTTTATGTTTTATACTATTGGTGATAAGACCTTCAGCAGGATTTTAAATAGTGGGAGTAACAATAAGATTTTTATTTTAAGGTGATACCATTAGGATCAGTTGGAAGGGATGAAATTATTGATGGGAAGACCAGCCAGATTGAATTGAGTATGATAGAAAGTTAAGTTCAACACTTAGAGTTAGGCTCTAGTTTGTCGTTAATGTTAGCAGAAATTAAGAATGATACCCAAGTTTCTAGCTTAAGAAACTAGAGTATGGTTCTAGTCATAGAAAGGAACCAATTTGTGAAAAAAATAATAAATTCAGTTTTAAATACATTGAGTTAAGAATAGAATACTTATTGACTTTGAAAAAATATATAGGAGTTAGTTGAAAATAGAAGTCTGAAACCTGGGAGAAAAATTTAAGTATGAGGTAAAGATTTATAATCAGCATGGATGTCAAGGACAAGAGGTCAAGGACAAGAATGAGTTATCCTGGGAAACTAGAGAGTGAGTTAAAAGATCAAGATGGCATAATGGGAAACAACAATGTTAAGGGACCATACAATAAACCATAAACAATTAGTCACAATTAATGTTTTTCTTTCATGATTATTTGGCCAGTTAATTAGACTTCTTGTGTTCAAGGTATCTCTAGACCTTCACTTTTGCTTTTAGTAATGAGTTTTATTATTGGAATTGCTTTGGGGAACAGAATAGAATTTCAAGCATATCAGATAATACCATGCTTTTTCACTTCAGGGGTTCTTTGAATGTAGTAATATTTTAAGTTTGTATTTTTTTTAATTGATATCTTCTTGAGATAGTCTGTCCACTATTTCCCAAATTGCATGTTAACTAATGGCTTATTTAATTGGCAAAAAAAGTTAGTTTAGTGATTAACTATCAGCATTTTTTAGAAATAAAAATAAAAGAGGAAAGTGAAAGGTGTGAACTACTCTCCTCTGGTCCCTTTTCAACACCTCTTTTGTTTCATGTTTCTGAATTGTTTTAAAGATATAAAATTGTTGAATTTAGAGATACTATACCATAAGGATAGGAGAAATGATCTTGAATCACACTGTTTTCTTGTTTTCATCAGTCAGAATGAGTCAAATTAAAACCTGAGTTTCACTCAAAACATTTTTCAAAGAATAAATATCTTTATACATTGAAATAAAATGATTGTTATTTCACTGAGAAGTTTGTATTGAAATGTGTATTGTCTTCTCTTCCTGTTATCTTCTCTGTAAGATACCAAAAAAATTAAACAACTTGAAGAACAAATTCAAGAATTAGAAAACTTCATATGCTTTTTGCGCCAACAATTGAAAGAAACTGAAGAAAATCATAGGGCAGAAATTTATTTTCTACAGGAGAAGCTTCAAGCCATTAGTGAGGCCACAGTGGACCCAAGGTATCTATTTACTTGAAACTTCATTCAGTGGTATTTGTAGCTTAGTAACAATGATAGTATCTTCTGGAATGGTTATTTTAAGAATAAAATATAACTTTAACAAAGAGATAGGATGTAACATTTTTAAGAAATAAGAGCAGGAGATAATTCTGTATCTTTAAAATGTGTGAAATAAATGTTGGTATAAATCAAAGACATTTTATTATAGGAATTTTACTTATGCTTTTATAAAGATGTTATTATTAATCTATTTTCTGAATTATAATAAGTCAGGTAGTAGACATTTACTTGTTTATTCTATGCCTAGGCTTTGATATGTTGATGTGGTGAATACTTAAATAGTCTAAGTATGATCATTCCACTATGACTTGAATATACTCCATTTGATTGTCTAATGCTCAAATTCATCATGTCCCAAATAGAATCCTGATCTATGAGGAGAGAAGAAATGATCTTGAATTACCACTATTTATGTTTTCTTGGATCAGGATCTTCTAAAATTTGCTCCTTCTGTAGCCATCTTCATCCATCATGACTCCTTTCTGTCATAACTCTCTGCCATTCTATGAAAAAATCTTGGTTTTTTTTTTTTTTAACCTTCAAAGTACATCAAAGCTGTGCCACTCCTTACTGCTCCACTGGTCCCTGCCATTGTGTGTTTCACCTGGATTACTCAACTTCTGTTTACAGTCTGTTCTCTATATAATAGTCAACACAAGTGCCAGAACCTTTGCTTTTATAATTTCAGTTACAGCATGTTACTCTAATCCTCTTCTGCTCTTTACAGTCTCACTAGGTCCTGAGGACCATGACATCTTTGACTTTCATTTCCTACTGACTTTCATATCACTTACTATTCTCAAACCATATAATCCCATGGGATTGGGGTTGGAGCTCAGCTTGCCTGGCTTGTGTGAGGCCCTCGGTTTGATTCTCAGCACCACATATAAATAAATAAAGTAAAGGTCCATTGACAACTAAAAACAATTTTAAAAGATTAAAAAAAACCTCATACAACCCCACTGTGATCCTCAAATATATCACATATCAGTATGCTTCTGCTTTAGGGATTCATTGGCTTTTTCTTCTACCTAGAATGATTATTCTCCAGGTATTTGTATGCCCACACCCTTATCTCCTTTGGATCTTAACTTAGATGTCATGTTCTTACATAAATTAAAATTTTCCCCAAAGAGTGTGTGTCTTACTTTTCTACTTCATTTTTTCTTAAAATTATTTGTTTTATATGTACACATACATTATAATCATTGTGTGTGTGCATGTATGTGTATATATAAATAATGTATGTATGCACTTTATATATCCAAATGTATATAAATTTAGAGGAAGTATTGTTTCATTTTGTTTGTCTTCCGTTAAGGAATTTAAGCCTTTTTAAAAAATATTTTTATTAGTTGTTATTTTATTTATTTATTTATTTATTTATTTATTTATTTACATGCAGTGCTAAGAATTGAACCCAGTACCTCATACACAGCAGTCAAGTACTTTACCACTGAGCCGCAACCCCAGCCTAGGAATTTAAGCTTATCTTTGTCTATTTAAGTCACTGATGTATTCTAAATCCACATGATTCCTAAATACTAATCTTACCTTATTGTTATAAGATTAGACATTTTAAGAAAACATTTTTACAAAGTATTGAATGCTTATATAACAATACAGAATTCAGACATACATACCAAAAGATATGTGGGTAGATAAAATTAAAATTAAACTAATTGTAAGTTAAAATTAAACTAACTGTAAGTTAAGAACCTTCTCTTTACTGTTGCCACATTTCATTTCCAATATAAGCAATCATTGTTACTTTTGATATGTATTCTTTCAGACATTTCCTATTTATATAGACATATGTTAAAACAGGTTTTTAATGCAAGTGAGAATTTATAAGCTTTTTTTAACTCAGTAATATATCTTAGATATATCTTTATATACATACATACATGCACACACACACACTCATATAAATATATATATATATATATATTTTTTTTTTTTTTTTTTTGGTATCAGGGATTGAATTTAGGGGCTCTTAATCACCGAGCCACATCCTCACGCCTCTTCGTTTTTTTCAGAACTACTGTTTTTATTTAAAATAACTCATGTTCAGATCTACCACATACCAGTTGGGTAATGTTAGACAAATCAAATTTAATGAACTATTATTTCTATATATGTAGTTTCAATAACTAATTTTTTTTTAGTTCTAGCAATTTTTTTTCTTCTAACTAGTTATCTAAGACAGTAGGATGCATTTTGACATATCATACATAAATGAAGTATAACTTCTCATTCTTTGGTTGTACATGATGTAGAATATGTGATGTAATCATATATGCACCTGGGATAATAATATCTGATTCATTCTACTGTCCTTTCTTCTCTCATAACCCTTCCCCTCCCCTCATTGCCCGTTGTCTAATCCAAAGTGTGTTTATTCTTCCCTATCCCCCCCTACCCCATTGTGAATTAGTATCCGCATATCAGACAAAATATTCAGCCTTTGGTTCTTTGGGATTGGCTTATTTAGCTTAGCATGATATTCTCCAGGTCCATCCATTTGCCACCAAATGCCATAATTTCATTCTTCTTTAAGGCTGAGTAATACTCCATTGGGGAGATATACATCACACTTTCTTTATCCATTCATCTGTTGAAGGACACCTGGGTTGGTTCCGTAGTTTAGCTATTGTGAATTTATCTGCTATAAACATGATGTGGCTGCATCACTGTATTATGCTGATTTAAAGTCCTTTGAGTATAAACCTAGGAGTGGGATAACTGGGTCAAATGATGGTTCCATTCCAAGTTTTCTTAGGAATCTCCATGCTGCTTTCTATAGTAGTTGCACCAATTTGCAGTCCCACCAGCAATGTATGAGTGTACCTTTATCCCCACATGCTTGCCAACATTTATTATTGCATATTTTTTCTTTCTTTCTTTCTTTCTTTCTTTCTTTTTTTTTTTTTTGTGGTGCTGAGTATTGAACTAGGGCCTTGTGCATGCGAACAAGCACTCTACCAACTGAGCTATGTCCCTAGGCCTGTTGCTCGTATTCTTGATAGTTGCCATTCTAACTGGAGTGAGATGGAATCTCATTGTACTTTTGATTTGCATTTCTCTAATTGCTAGAGATGTTGAACATATTTTCACATATTTGTTGATCAATTGTATGTTTTCTGTGAAGTGTTCAGTTCCTTAGCCCATTTATTGATTGGTTTGTTTTTCTGGTGTTTTTATTGTTTTTTAATTTTTTTTTTTTAGTTGTCAATGAACATTTATTTTTTAAATTTATTTATATGTGGTGCTGAGAATCAAACCCTAGGTCCCTCACACATGCCAGGCAAGTGCTCTACCACTGAGCCACAACCCCAGTCCCTGGTGTTAAGTTTCTTGAGTTTTTTATATATCCTGGGGATTAATGCTCTGAGGTGTATGTGGTAAAGGTTTTCTCCCATTCTGTAGGCACTCTCTTCATGTTATTGATTGTTTGATGTGAAGAACCATTTTAGTTTGAATCTTTTTATTGATTCTTGCTTATAGTTCTTGTGCTCTAGAAGTCTTGTTAAGGAAGTCAGTTCCTAAGCTGAGATGGTAGAGTTTGGATCTACTTTTTCTTTTGTTAAGTGCATGGTCTCTGTTCTAGTGCCTAAATCCTTGATCCACTTTGAATTGAGTTTTGTGCAAGATTAGAGATAGAGGTTTAATTTCATTTTGCTTCATGTGGATTTTCAGTTTTCCCAGCACCATTTGTTGAATAGGCTATCTTTTCTCCAGTGAGTATTTTTGGCACCTTTGTCTAGTATGAGATAACTGTATTTATATGGCTTTGTCTCTGTGTCTTCTATTCTGTATCATTGGTCTATGTGTCTGTTTTGGTGCCAGTGTCATCCCATTGTTTTTGTTGTTGTTGTTATGGCTCTGTAGTATAATTTAAGTTCTGGTATTATGATGCCTCTTGCTTCACTTTTCTTGCTAAGGATTGCTTTGGCTATTCTGGGTCTCTTTTTTCCAAATGAATTTCATGATTGCTTTTTCTAGTTCTACAAAGAATGTCATTGGAATTTTAATAGGAATTGCATTAAATCTATATAATGCTTTTGGTAGTGTGGCCATTTTGACAGTGTTAATTCTGCCTATCCAAGAACATGGGAGATATTTCTATCTTCTAAGGTCTTCAATTTTTTTTTTTTTTTTTTTTAGTGTTCTGTAGTTTTCACTGTAGAGGTCTTTCACCTCTTTTGTTAGATTGATTCCAAATATTCTATTTTATTTTTTGACGCTATTGTGAATGGGGTAGTTTTCCTAATTTCTTTTTCAGTGGCTTTATCACTGATATATAGGAATGTATTTGATGTATGGTTATTAATTTTATGTCCTGCTACTTTGCTGAATTTCATTCATTCTAGAAGTTTTCTGGTGGATTTTTTAGGTCTTCTAAATATAGAATCATATTGTCGGCAAATAGTAATAATTTTGGTTCTTTTTCTGTTTATATCCCTTTAATTTCTTTCTTCTGTCTACTTGCTCTGGCTAGTTTCCAGGATTATATTGAATAAAAGTGGTAAAAGGAGGGTATTCTTGTCTTACTACAGTTCTTAGATGGAATGCCTTCAGTTTTTCTCCATTTAGAATGATTTTGGTCTTGGGTTTAGCATGTATAGCTTTTACAGTGTTGAGATATGTTTCTACTATCCCTAGTTTTTCTAGTGTTTTAAACATGAAAGGGTGCTTTATTTTGTCAAATGTTTTTTGTGCTCCTATTGAAATGATCATATGATTCTTCTTGAAGTCTATTGATGTGATAAATTACATTTATTTATTTCTGTATGTTGAACAAACCTTGAATCCCACTTGAATATGGTGCACTATTGTTTTAGTCAGCTTTTTTATTTCTGTTGCTAAAGGATCTGACCAGAACAATTTTAGGAGAGGAAAAGGGCTCATGGTGTTATTTGAGGGCTCATGGTGTTTAG